TTTAAGTAATTGAAACACAAACAGTGGTTATGGTAAAACAAAGCACAATCTGTAGGTATACTTGCAAACATGGAAATCACTCTGACACCTATTAAGGAGACAAAAACAGAAAGAGCGCTCCTAGTGCAGCATAGTAATTCACTTATAGGTTGCTGCATGTACTAAGATCCTTCTCCCATTTGCGCCATCCTATTTATAATCGTTTTTTAATTCCTCCATGTGTTAAAGCCACGAAGGAAGTTCCTCCCAAGCTTCTTGGTCAAATGTCACTTTTTCAGAGTAATATAGGCTGAGACGAATACATTTTGGATTTACCTACTTGAGGTGTCTCTATTGGTCCTGGAAAAATCAGCTGGAGAGAGGCGGATAGCAAAGTGATTATTCTGAACAAGTTGCTCAATGTCAATATAGCATGTGTGATTACTTAAAGATTTGCCAATTTCTTTGATTGACTGAATTTTCGAATTTAGTAGACTCAATTGTCTTCCTCTGAATTCACAGTAAATAATAGGACTTTCATTGTATTGGACAGGACAAGAGTTACTTTTTCCAAATTGATGGAGAATCATGGCATAACTTATTTTGACGTGAGCAGAATAAAGTCTAGATAAACCATTAGAAGGACACCCCTGCTTCCTAGAAATGCAGAATTGGGCTTCATTAATTATGTGAAACACCACAAGCGAGGATGAAAGGGAGGCAACTGAATCGCCACTTTGATTCTTTACAAATAAAGTAAAGGTGTAAAATTCCTTGGCAATCAGAACGGTCAAGTAGGATTCTTAAACATCTGTCTTTGCATTTTAATTCGATTTTAAAATAAGATCTCTTAGGCCACGAATGCCTTCATTCTTGAAATGTCAGTAAACATAGACACAATTGCAGTGTTTTGACCGAGTATGTCTGGTTTTCTTTCTTTTACATTTGGAATAAATTGCTCACAGATTCTGCAACATTCCATTTGTATTTTCATAAACTGTGTTGGCCAAAGGAAGGACCTGTTGTAGCAATGTGACTCCCTGGACCCAGACCCATCCCTTTCAGGACTCCTAAAATTACTGCTTGTTTATTATCACCAGCAATATATGTGGATATTTTCTCCTTCTGATTTGTAAACTTTTCTATTACAACATTCTTGGTAATCTTTGCATAATAATCTAAATCCATATTTGAGTTGTGATAAGATTATTTTTCTGCCTCCACACCAGATAATCACCAATCCCCAACAAAATTGCAAGGTGGGTGTGAGACACTGTTGCTTGTAGGTCTGCCCAGGTTTCTGTCCAACCATTTGATAACCAGGTGTTGTGCAAAGTTGAAAATTGGATTTATCAAAGCAGATTACCTTACTACAGTCCACTGCAGTCCTTATGGTCTTTTGCAAACTTCAGTTTGGTTCTTCTTTGCTTCTCATTTATAAAGGGCTCTTTTCTAGCTTTGCATGATTTCAGTCCTGCCCCTTAGAATCCTGTTTTGAATTATCCTCGAAGTGCACTTCATTCAAGCTGTCATTTGCCATTCTTTTTGTAGGTGACTTGATATCATCCTGCAGTTGTTGACTAACATGATTTAGCGGTTATCCCATCAGTTGATAGTTTCTTTCACCCTAGACTGGTCTGTGGCTTCATTGTGTCTCATGTCTGTCCAATCGCCTCGTTCTTATGAACGGTTGTCTTTTTAAGGATTGAGGCAACCAGATGCTCACTGTTTAAATTCTTCCAGTAAAACCAGAACTTAGCCCTCCTTTTTCTCCCTCTAACCCTTTCTTTTCAATTCTTTTGGAATGGTTATTTTTTCAAATGCTTTTGAGATACCTTTAGCATAGGGGTTGCCATCCATCTGGTCCTGTTGCAAGAGGGTAGTGGTGGTTCCTGCAATGTTTTTTTTTTTTTTTTATCTTTTCCTCATTAGATAAGAAGGGATGACAGAGGTCCCAAGCGTGCAGCCCCAGCATCTCCTTGAGCTGCACCAACCACTGACCCTTAGAACCAGAAACTTAGAAATACACCAGTACTAATCTTTATAACCAAGCCTTCAGATACTTCCAAATACGGCCATCACTGCTGCATTAAGGGACCTTATGGACTGAGGCCCTATAAAATTGGTGAGATCTAACCATTAGGATTTCCTTAAGCATTGCAGCAGTTCTCCTAATTGATCCTTGAGCAAACATTTGTTTCTATTTGGACATTGTATATATATTTTTTTTCATTTTCATATTTTTTTGTGTACACATTTTTTTCACTATTTTCTTTCTTTCTATTTTTTTGTGGGGGTGGGGATACCCATATAAAATACAATAGGAATATCGATTCGTCTGGATCAACAGATAAGGACTATGGTTTCTGAGCAGCGGGTGCAGGTATATATAGGTTTTCTTTATATATATATATATATATATATATATATATATATATATATATATATATATATATATATATATATATATATATATATATATATATATATATATATGTAGAGATTGTAGCCGTATTAGTCCATATATATATATATATATATATATATATATATATATATATATATATATATAGACTAATACATACATGCAGACATACATTGATACTGACATACATACATTCATATATACATACATACAGACATACATTGATACTGGCATACATACAAACATACATAGAGACATACATTGATACTGGCATACATACATGCATACATTCATATATACTGACAGACATACATTGATACTGGCATACATACAAATATACTGACAGACATACACACAGAGCTCATTTTCCAGCCACCCTCCTGTTTCTTACCTTTTCGTTGCTGGAGGGTGGCTGGGGCTGATAGGAGTCGGCTGGCTCTCCCTCACTGCCGGGCACGCCACTCCCACGCGGAGTGAGCTGGGAGGCTGCTTTTGTTTCTTTTTTTAAAAGGGGCCCGGTCGCACTATAACACGGCCACAGAGCTGACCGGGCCCCTGAAGATATAGGGCCCATCAGGTGGCCCTAAGTGCGTGAGCCACCCGATGGGCCCCATAAGCGTGCCGGTGCAAGTGCACCGGCGGCAATTCCGCTGCTACACGTGGTGGCCGGGCCTCCCAGAGCTGCCGGGCCCATGACGACCGTTATGGTTGTCACCCCCTGATGACGGCCCTGGTTACACATATAATCATTACTCAGCATATAATATGTACTAAGCACTTAATGTAATTCCAATGCAAATATGTATTAAAATGCAAGCACCTGTATTGTAATTTATTCATACTTACACTGTTTCCATGGAATGATTTTTTTAATTTTTTTATTTTTTTTATAAGACAAGAAGCCTAGCTCCTTATTTGTATGCTAATTCACCAAGTGACACTTTATTTTTTGGTATTTAGTGTAATATAATTATAAAGCTACATTTTATGATGTTTAAAACAGCAGCCTTTTTATTTGTACATTTCAAAGTTGGCAAAGTGCTTTAGAAAATTTAATTAGACTCATTTAAAAATGTCTTCTTGACATTTTATCTTCAGAATTTGCATGTAATTTACATTTAGTCAGATGTACAAAATATAAACAAAACACATCTATTACGCATGCAGCAAACATAATTTACAGAACACACACACAAAACTAGGATGTATAAAATTAGTTGTTGTAAATTAAAAGGGGCACAGTAAGTAACAGCTCTGTCTGTGTTACTAAACTCTCTGTGTATTGTCTCCCAGTTTTATGTCTAACCATTTAGAAGCACCCAGGGACACCCTCTCATTGGTTCCATTGATCATTTACAGTTGTTACACCACTCTCTGCAGGGTCTGAGCGCTCTTATCTAGAGTTGAGCGGACACCTAGATGTTCGAACTTGACCCCAAACCCGAACCCCATTTAAGTCAATGGGGACCCGACCGTCTGGCCACAAAAATGGCTCTAAAAACTCCTGGAAAGGGCTAGAGGGCTGCAAAAGGAAGTAAAATGAGGGTAAGAGTAGGACAAGTGCCCTGCAAACAAATGTGGATAGGGAAATCACTTAAAAATAACATAAAATAAGCAGCCGCTTAGTAGATAACTCCCTAATTCCCACGGTATTAGGGAGCTATCTACCAAAAGGCTGAAAGACCTAAATTGGTCACCTAAATTGGTTTTTCAGCCACATTTACTAATACTAAGTAAAGATTATTTAGTATTAGAAAATTCATCCCCTACTGGCTATACCGCGAGTAGAGGCGTGTCTAGTAAACAGTGAGCAGCCAGTGGCTGCTCACTGTAAAAAAACAAACAAAAAAAACAACTATTGAAAAAAAAAACGAGCGCAAAAAACCCCAAATCCTTCTTCACCCATGGAGGGCTCCGCGCATACTGAGTTCTGCAGGGCAGGGGAAGGCTTATAAAGCCTTACCCCGCCCTGCAATTAGGCTCACAGCACTCTGATTGGTGGGTTTAAGCCATCCAATCAGAGTGCTCTGACAGGTAAATGAAGAGACTGACAGGTAAGTCTCTACATTTACCTGTCACAGCACTCTCATTGGTTGGCTTGAAATCCACCAATCAGAGTCCTCTGTGTCATTTTACACAGCCTGGGAAGGTTCTTTGCAATTTTCCCACGCTGTGTAATTTGACTCATAACACTCTGATTGGTTACTTAATCCACCAATCAGAGTGCTCTGTGTCATTTTACACAGCGTGGGAAAATTCCAAAGAACTTTCCCACGCTGTGTAAAATGACACAGAGCACTCTGATTGGTGGATTTCAAGCCAACCAATCAGAGTGCTGTGACAGGTTAATGTAGAGACTTGATATCAGTAATGGGCAGAATGCACTAGCCCTAAGGAGTGGAAAAAATTGATTAAAAGGGGTGGAAACAGACAAGTAGGAAATCTCTACTAGTAAAAGAAAGCCCCATAAAAGCTAGGAATAATACATAGATAAAAGTAGGTGAAAAGACCAACACGTACTAGGAGATTTCTTCTAAAAATAATAATAATAAATAATAATGAACTTGATCGTATGAGAAATAATACAAATAGCTCCAAAAGCACACAATAAGAGACACTAATAAATGCATATAATGCATTATATGCATTTATTAGTGTCTCTTATTGTGTGCTTTTAGAGCTATTTGAATTATTTCTCATACGATCAAGTTTATTATTATTTATTATTTTTAGAAGAAATCTCCTAGTACGTGTTGGTCTTTTCACCTACTTTTATCTATGTATTATTCGTAGCTTTTATGGAGGCTTTCTTTTACTAGTAGAGATTTCCTACTAGTGCATTATATGCATTTATTAGTGTCTCTTATTGTGTGCTTTTAGAGCTATTTGTATTATTTCTCATACGATCAAGTTTATTATTATTTATTATTATTTTTAGTGTCTGGTAAGAAATCTCCTAGTACGTGTAGGTCTTTTCACCTACTTTTATAAATGTAGAGACTTACCTGTCAGTCTCTTCATTTACCTGTCAGAGCACTCTGATTGGATGGCTTAAACCCACCAATCAGAGTGCTCTGAGCCTAAGTCTTTATAAGCCTTCACCCACCCTGCGGAGCCCTCCATGGGTGAAGAATGATTTATTTATTTTTGCGTTCATTTTTTTTTTTTTTAAGGTGCGTCGGTTATTCTGGATTTTTATTTGGCCTTTTTGGGGGCTGAAAGAAAACATCAAATGGTAAGTTTTATTTTTTTTTGTAGGTACTTAGCTAATGGTCCCCCCTCATTATTTTTAGTGTGGGGTGTAGGTAGGGGTAATTTTTTTTGGGGGGGAGAGGGGTGACTAGGGGTTTGGGGACCCCTAATCACATGGAGGGTGTGATTTTTATTTCTGGCCCCCACCCACCGCTCGGGGTGGGGGCCGGGGGGAGGACATTAGGTCCCGGCACCCCTAATTTTTATTTATGGCCCCCACTCACTGCTCAGGGGTGGGGGCCTGGGGGAAGGACATTATGTCCCCCCCTCCTCCAATTTTTATTTATGGCCCTCACCCACCGCTCAAGGGTGGAGGCTGTGGGAGGAGGACAGTAGTTCGGGTTCACTCAACTCTACTCTTATCGTAACACAAACACTTCTAATAATATGATTGCACTACACTTTTTGGGAATAATTCCTGTTCCTATCATAAACAGCCTATTGGTCATAGTGGTTAAGTCTTTTTAAAAGGGTATGGGCAGTTGAGAAGTGAAGTGTATGTTAAGCTATAGATGATTTCAAATGTTTTATTCAGTAGTTTCATTTTCAGACAACCGATAGATCCGTCTTAAGAGTTAATTTACCAGAGTAAATTGTCAGAAATTTTAAAAACAAATCTTTAATTTGCAGTTTCATTATAGTATTACTACAGTATGATTATTTTAAATGTAATACAATGGGCATACAACTTGTATTTTTGTGTGTGTTTAAGTTGAGTATTTTTGATAGATGATAACGCGTGTGTAGCTGGAAAGAAGGTGGTCCAGTGATAACCTGAGGGGCCGTCATTCTTGTTCTTGAAAAAGACACATAGTCGACAAATTGATACTTTGTTGCCAATAAAGGCATCTCATTTGGAATTCTGTGGAAGTGCTTGACGTTATCTGTTCTTGGAACGGGAGTCATGTTGTACCCTTTATTCACTGCTAACACGGGTGGGTGCTTTTCCCTCTATCACTGTTTAAAAAATGTCATAGGGGTGGGTCTGCCTGAAAAAAGGACCAGTCCACCTGGCATGAATGCACTCCAAGCTAACTGCCTGCCACTTTGGCGGGCTTTACTTGGAGTAGCCTATATGCAGAGTGATTCTGAAGCTCTCTGCATGATGACATCCAGCATCAGATTTTTCCCCATAGGAAAGGATTGATTCAGTGCCTTCCAATGGGGAGGTCTAATGCATGCAAGGCATTTGCCGGGCATGCGCTTTTGCATCTGCTCATCACGGGACGGAGCAGGGGGCGGAGCGTCTACCCAGCGCAGAGGGTCATTGGTTTTTACTTTTTATTTGGAGGGGAGCGCAAGGGAAGTAGGAGGCAGAGGGAAGCTATAGTGCCAGGAATACAGCTTTGTATTCCTGGCCCTATAGTATTTCTTTAAACATGCCACACTGACTGACAACTTTCCTGCCTCAACACATAAGACATCCAGCTTCAGCAACCCTCTCTGCATGGTCGGATACCTCCCGCACAGCACGAGCTTGTCTAATGATGCACTTGCGCTGTGCTACCTGGGACCTTTTCCATTGTGTCCCAGGATGAATAACACCAGGGAGCAAAATCAGAATGACAGGATAGGACTCATGCTGAGTGAACTCTTTGCAGTCTTGTTTGTCTCACTTGTCATACCTCCTCTTGGTCCTCGCCATGATGCTCATTTTCCCTCTGGCATTTAACCAGCGATTATATCATTGCACAACACATGCTTCCGGATTAATTTTAAAGTGATGGTAGCTTAAACCACTTGTGTGCTAAACACACACAGACATACACACGTTTATATATATATATATATATATATATATATATATATATATATATATATATATAGTAGCCAAACAGTGCGTTATAGTATTCAGTGTGTCTTTCTAGTTTGACTCTGTTGTTTTGTCTATTATTACCTCTGGAATCCCTGACCTTGGCTTTGCGTACTCGATTGTTCTACCTTTTCCTATCCTTTATCTTTTCCTGTCTCGAGTTATTCCTGTTCTATATTAGGACTATATTCTTTGCTTCTTACATTAAGCCCTGCCACTGTTTGGTCCGGTAATATGCACTTTATCTTTTATATATTGCCTCTAGTTTGTGTGTCGAGGTAGCACCTTTACATTACTTCACCATTAAATATTCCTGCCAACATGCAGAAAACAAAAAGGACGGACAAAACAAGAGCCACACTGAAATTAGTCGAGACCTGCATCGCATTACGAATCTGATCTGGAGCTACAAGTGGTGACTATGCCATTAGCATGTGAATCAAAAGCAGCAATGCACACTGATGGCAGAAGCAGCTATAACTCCATTGAAATTGATGTCCAAGTTAAGGTGCCTGCGCTCACCACACAGATGTCTGTGAAAAATCTCTGAAAGGTCTATCCCTATGATGTTACCTCGGAACCGTGGACTAGCCACTAATGCCTACCTGAACCAAGTCTCCCTGCCTGAAACTAAATGACAAATTACTAGTGCATACTAAATTAAAAGTGCTACCAAGTATCGTGAAAACAAAAAAGGAAAAACTGAACGTTAGTTGCGGCATGTCATTACACCAACATCAGTAGCAATGTCTGTGATCTGGCCAGCCTGCTTGTATATGAACCCTTGTCAATTAAGGGACAGCTTGCAGCTGATGAGGGGTGTGTTTTCATTTGATCATTGTTCATTAGTAAATGCATGGATGGACCGTCTGGTGGAAGGGGGTGTGTACGTATGTCTAACCCCCTTAATGCTGATTAAGTATCAGCCGCATAGTAGGCATGATTATATCGGTCATGCAATTGCTGGATGAGCAAAGAATGAATAACAAACTATCAAATAGACTATCAAATAAACTATCAACTATCTGGCTTAGTATCTCGGTGGTTCATCATGCCGCCCAGATACTAGATCAATGGTGGTGTCTCAGTATTGAAGTGAGTCGGACAAGATATGTATTCACGTTGTGCGGTGGAAATATCGCCTATGTGTGGGCATGTTAAGGATCCGAAGCTCCTTCTATCTCCTGATTGGTACAGGAGGTCCATGGATTAAAAGGGAACGGACACGTCCACGATTATTTTTCTCCACAATATGTGGTGTGAGGGAGCAGTGAAATAATCATCAATTGAATGTCCCGACTTATCAACGGGCTCAGTGTCCATTGTATGTAAAGGGCGATGAGACCAGTAAGAGACCAATTGATCTGGTGTCCAAGGGTAGACATGCCCAGGTGGATCGGCATCATTCTATGATTGTGTTGAGCCATCTAATCAGATTTTTAATCACGTTTTAGTGTCTTCCTAGTTGAACCCTGGCTCATCTATATACACTTCTCACCAGCTGTATTATTGTGCTTTTCCCTATTTACTGATTTTTACTTACCCATTTTTTTCATCCCTAGAATTATTAAAAGTAGGGCATCCTCTCCTTTCTAGTGTCACCCTCTCCCTCTGGGACCTCACCTTGGTCCGCTACTATTCTTTTTCAAACTACCTGTCGGTTATTCCTCATGCTTTAAGAGAGTGACAGTGGGCGTTTCCTCCCCTGGAGATAATCCACTAGCCCCCTATTACTGTCCTCTGGGGTTTCTGAATCTGTCCCTACTTTATTTTATTTCTGTCTTAAGTATCAAACCTTGTTTATTTTGGGTAGAAGTATCAGTGCAAGTGGTTATTGGGTCGGTATTCAATTATGGTATTTAGGGTGCGATGTTTAACTGGGCCATGTAGATTATAATGCACACAGTGGACAGTTTGTTCTGCCATTGCATCACTTAGGTCAGTGGTTTCCAATGATCTCATCAAAGTGTGGTCTAATGTTTCCCAGTTCTGTTCCATTTCAGATACTGACAAAATATAGAGTTTTGCTGTGGCTTGATGACTGACTTAGTATTGAGTGCATTAAAAGGATAGTAAGCACCAAAACCACATAATCTTAATGAAGTGGATGGATGCTGTCCCTGCAGCCTTGCAAATAAAAACCATACCATTTCTGAGAAAAGGCACCATATCTATTTAGCAGTTTCAATGCATAGTAATAGTAACTAGTAGTCAGTCAGATAGTTGATAGGTACTTCCAAACAAGTAGTTTGTTATTGAATCTATTTGACGTCTAGCATTGGCATATCGTTGGGATTGTTGTGGATGCTCCGTATGTTTTCCGTGATGAGAAGCATCCATTTTAACAAGTCATTATAATAACTTCAAAGGAGGAGAATCAAGCTGTATTGAGGAGTATGTATTCGTACTAAATTACAGGTTAGTTTTTATGGCTTTTAAAAAGGGTACAAATAAGTCTGATCAAGCAAAGGAAGTAACTTTATGTAGCACATATGTAATATTTTATTGTTATTAAGCGAAAGATAAATGTTTTCCTTATCTATCATAGATATACAAATAATTATGTCTGTTTAACGATGTGTCACCACTCGAGGAGAAAGGGGTTTTAGCCCTTGGACAG